AATTTAAATGTTTAAGCTATTAAACGTGTGTAACCAACTATTAAAACAAAATACAGTCTTCTGAACATCTAACAGACTATGACGTTTATAAAAAAATTAATTCCTTGTTTCTTCTGGGGATGCAAGCTTCAGCTTCTCACATTACTCTGAACTCCCTGAATATTTTTTCCAGTTTAAAAAAAAAAAAAAAAGTTCTTTCCCTTATACCTCTAATGGCAGAGCAGAGCAGTGTCATGCACTGTGAGCAATTAGTGAGCACACGATCAATCAAATTGTGTAGCAATGCATTACATGTAGTCCTGGAGGTAGTGAAGCCCCCTAGCTCACCTATTTGTAGGACTTGCTCAGATATTTAGCTTGGACAGGACCCAAACTTCTGAAGTTAAAAAGTATCCAGCAGAACTTCTTAAAATACTGAGTTTCTCCTCATCTAGAAGAGATCAGAGGCAAAAGAGCCATATAGAAGGCTGGTTCTTATAGGACTGCCACTTTCTGAGAGAGAATAATGAATTGCTTTTTTTTTACCTTTTTGATGTTTATCAGACTAATAAAATATTGGAGCAGACTTGAGATGCTACTGATGGAAAAATCCTGATGGTTTTTGTTGCCTTACCTTCCTATTCCCTGGCTTTGTTGTTAGAATTTGCCATTCTCTAGTTTAGCATTAGGATTTATGCATAATACAAGGGATATACCAGTGGAAGGCAGGAGACCCTTAGTATCAGGTGGCATTTTATTAGCATGCAAGAAGCCAATAAAATTTAGGCATTGAAGGCACTAGGCACAAAAATCTTGTCTGGTTTTGAACACACCGAGCACATGCGTTTTCTGCAGCTTTTAGATGGAAGACTAAGGAAGGTGAGCCAGTTCCACCGGTCATATAATTGAGCTCAAACTAAAATTCCACATCCCTTCTGGAAAACAAGACACATGATTAATGAGGATTCAGCACTGCCATCTAATTCACTTGAATTGGTTTAAAAATGCATTATAAAGTACCCAGTATTTATGATGATATTTAAGAGAGTGGTGGTTTTCTGGTTGATAACTACCTGAGGCACACTCTTCTGAGTAGGAAATAATTACTCTTAAAAGTCAAAACCTGTCTTCTGTGGGAGGTATGGATGAAAGATATCCTTGTTTCCAAAGACTATTACTAAAATGTAGTTTACTTGACCTAAATCCCATAGCTTGAATGTTGATTCTGCCATTGAAGTCAATAAAATTACATTTTTTTAAGCAGAAAGAGTGATGAAATCTAGCTCCAATTTAAAGATCAATCTTAACTGTGCCCTTGAACATAAGAGGTGCAAAATATCAGCACAAGTTCCTGCAAAGAGATACAGTTTGTTTACACAAGCACACAAAAAAAGTCTCATTTTATATCCCCACAGAAACAAGGAGGAATGGGAGAAGAATGTGGCAAAGTCCGCAAAGCAGAAAATTCTTGTTTAACACAAGGCTGTTTCAAAAGAAACTAGAATTTCATACTTGTGATAGGTGATTCAGATACAAAGTAATCTGCTACTTTACATTTCAAAATATGGAATCACTTTCAATACTTACAGGTTTTTGTTTTTTTGGTTTTTTTTTCTGTTAGCTAAACAGTTCTCATTTGTTCTGTGTGGCAGTCTGTTTGAAAAACTTTGACAATGTTTCTTCCATTTCTAGGTCTATGGTGGGCCTGATTTCCTCTCCCCTAGACTAGCCCAGCTGTGTGTTTCAAGAGCAGCACAGAACCCACTGCGAGTCTCTACTACCGGCAGTTCAGCCATTGTCTATTTCAAGACAGATGCAGCAGTGACAGGGAAAGGTTTTAATGCCTCATGGCAAGAAAATCCGGGTGGTGAGTATAATGATTAATACCAGGAGAAATTCAGAAAGTCTGAGAATCGCAGGTCAGCCATGCAAGCATGTAAAATGATCAAACAGCATAGGACTGAAAGCAGAATAATTTCAGTCCTTGGTAATACTAAGAGATGCTGAAAAACACATAGAAGAAAAATATTGTCTAACTAGCTGAAATCTAGTCCTTTTTATGTATTTTGTAACAGTCTACCTTGTTGGGGTTTCTTCTCTACATAATTAATCAAGATATTCCTGTAATCAGAAAAGGACTTTTGCATGCTAGCAGGTCTTCCCACCCACTCACCCACACAGAGTCCTTTATTAGCTGAAAGATGCTTTTGGTTTTAAACTGTAAAGTGAAAAATATCTGGGAATGTGGCTTAACTTGGAGAACTCAGCTGACTCCAAAAATATTTGGAGTGATTAGTAAATACTTGAACTCTATAAGGTTCATCCATCCTCCATGTAATTATTTGTTCAAAGCCTTACTGGTAATCAGTAAAAGAAGAGACACGCTTAAAAGACCCAACCACATGTCTCTACATGGGAGTTCTTATGAAAAGGCCAATTACCAGAAAATAATTGCAATGAAAATGAGGAGAGGCAGATTTTAATTCTTGCAGTTTTGCTTGATTAAGCACACTGATTCATTAGTTTGTCAAGGTTTATACTTCTCCATTCTCACAAGTTTTATGAGAAAAGCACAAGATTTTTTTTTTTTAATAAAAGAAGTCTACAATAGTCCTTTGAATTATTCCCCATCTGAGATCTAGCAGCTTTTTTTTTTACTAAGGCCCCCTGAAGCTTTCTCATCCCTTTACAGCATCTTGCCTGTTGTATTCCACTGCCCTTCTAGCCTCTAAAATACCCACTCACCAGAATGCAGTAATAGTATAGTTTTTATCCTTCCATCAGGCTGCCTCCATCTATAGCAGTCCCAATGTCTTCCTCTCACGCTCCTCCATCCCTTCCAACATATAAAAGTCCATTTGTTTGTGTTAATCCTATTAAAAGCCCTGGTACTTCCCACACAGGATCCGTCATTCCAGGCTATTTAGATAATCATGAGCACTGGAACTGTTCTGGTCAGAAATACCTGAGGGTAGAGTCCTCAGGAAGCCCTCAACTCCATGGGCAGAGAAGTCAAAACTTGAGGTTTGCAATTGTTGTATTGTTAATGGGGAAAGTGGAGCTTCTAGCTGTCTTGATAGTTTCAGATTTGGTTTTCTCACCCTATGCTCAGCTAGGCCTAGTCATTGCTTTCTCAGTACACTAGGTCTGTGGCATTCATATGAATGTTATTTTTGATTGCTTTTACAGTATCTAGGATAGAGGAATACCAGCACTAATGCTTCAGCCTTTACAACATCTACTACCGGACTGTTGCTTATTTACCATAAATGATAAAGCTATACTTTCCTGATAGTAATTTCCATTGATTTTGTTGCGGACAGGACACTTAAACAGTTGGAGCATTGATCTTGCGAAAATTTAATGTGGAAAATATAAAGATGGAGGTGGAATCTTGCTAAGCATAAAAGAGCTTGTGATTAAAACTGATTTTGTCTTTTTCAGGCTGTGGTGGCATTTTCCAAGCTAACAGTGGGGAAATCCATTCTCCAAATTATCCTCAACCTTATAATAATAACACAGATTGTTCTTGGGTTATCCAAGTTGACTACAGCCACAGAGTCCTATTGAATTTCATGGATTTTGACATTGGAAATCACCATTCATGTAACTATGACAATGTTGCAGTAAGTAACAATAGAAATTTCAAAAGTTTCCTTAATTAGTCTGGTGAAATGCTTGCAAAAGAGGAAGCTTACTGTGTAACCTAGGCTGCAGTTGGTTTCAGACTGGTAGTTGCACAGTCGTATTTATTTACTCATGAGCTAAGGCTTAAATTTACAGCTAAATAGTTATGACCTAGTTCCCTTTGCTTTGCCAATGAAACAAGCTTCACAAATGTGTTTCTGCCTTCTTCCAGGTTCCCACTTTTATCTGGAAGGATCTTTTCTTGAAAGCAGTGCATGCTGCATCCTGGCACCATGTGTTTCCTTTTGGTGGTGTGAGTTGTAGTTAGTATTGCAGGAATATCCTCATACATAGATGGCTGTTACTATGGCACTCTTAGTGCAGTTTACCATGGCTTGCTCCAAGCCATAGGATGGACTGCCCATGTATATAGTAGGTTGCCCACACTCTGTTACAAACTCAGGAGAGAGGGAGGTCTACATCCAGAAGGAATTCTGACTGACTGGTTTTCTTTATGTGTGCACTGCATATTTAGGTGCTCCTCATCTGTCTGTTTAATTGCTTCATTAGAGCTGCTGCTCTCTTAAAAGCCTCACATTGCTGTTGGTTTGTGAGCTTTTGTTGATGTCACAGAAATTCAAGTTGCTGCTCAATCAGTGCATGACAATGAAGAACTCTCCATGTCTCTACTTGGCCTTTTGGGAGCACAGACATGGAATCCTGACCTTTGATGTCAGATTGCACTTCACTCAGTACAAAGGCATGTGTGATCACTACCAGTTGGATAAAGCACAGTGGCTGTAGCCCAAAATCCAGCTTTCCTCTCCTTGATAAACTGTCATTCACAGAGAACTCAATTTGTCAGGAACTGAGAGTCTTTTGAAAACAGCATCTTTTAACAGCATTGCCTTGTAAAGCTTTTTTGTACTGAACCAGAAAAAAGGAAATGTGTCCCCATTTTGCTGAGCAGAACTGAAGACTTCATTTGGCCGCAAAGCATCTTTATACAAGGACTGTTCATTTTTTTTTCTGGTTCTGAAGCATAGGGAAATACAGTTGTGTCTTTTTTAACTACATCAAGAGGATCATTTAAAGGGAACATCTATTGGAAAAACTTCCAAGTCTTCTGTGATATCACTCAGGAGAAGAAAGTCAGATTACATGACAGAAACATGGGCCATCTGAAACAGCAGTACTGGTATAAATGCCAAAAAATTTTTGCAAATCAAGGGATAAATTCAGAAAAAACCTGATACACAAGTTTATCTTTTAAATTATGCCACTGGATGGATGTACCTACCTAAGCACTTTGTAGAGTACTCAGCTGCATGAGCTCGGGTACAACTCCCATTACCTTTATAGGCCAGATACAGGCACTGGGTTTTCAGTCACCAAAAGCCATCAGTCCTTGAGCTGGCAGAAGAGATGTCTGTGGCAGAGCTTTTTGCTTGAGTGGAGCTTGCAGACCATTACAGTGCCATAACACTCCTCTTCCTCTATTGCCATACGAGTATGTGTTGTTTGCTTCTGCTTTTTGGTTCTGGTGGTGGAGGAGGAGGAAGTTGCCCATCAGCCCCAACTGTGCAAACACAACTGAAACAGCAATGTGAGCAGGGAGGGAGGTTTAAATTTAATGCAGGCATCAATCACTGCCCACCAAGTGGAAGGTAGTTTGAAAATGGAGGAGCGAGAATGCTGATTCGAAGCCAAGAGATAACTAAGGGCTCTGAGGCTCTGGTGTATGAGGTAGAGAAGAGCTCTTCATGCTAATGTAGAGGAATCAGCCGGGCAAGAAAGGAGTGGATGGTGTTTCTTGCTCTACCTGATACACCAATAAGCAGAAGATCATTTATCACCCACACTTGGATGTGATTTGTGTTCATCTCATTCCAAGGCTTGCTATGTGCCTCACACAGTAATAGGAGAACAGAGCGAGGGGACAGAGAGTGCCTGGAAAGTCGTGGCTGACTGTGAATGGTTTAGGAATTGCATTCCAAAATCTGTGTAAATGGAAAATATGGGCAGCTAAGGAAGCTGGTGGGTTGTTTTTCTCTCTCAAATATAGGAACAACTACTGTGTATGAGTAATACAGTGGTTCCACCCTTTTCTGTTTCTTTAATTTTTACTTTATGGATTTTATTTACTCCTGGGGCTCCCCTCCACCCTTGAGTGTACCATTGGCCTTCATCCTTCTCCTTCTAAACCCAGTCATTTTTCCCTGTGTTATGACTTGAGTTTTGGGGGTGGTTTTTTTATATTTCAACCATAAATTCCTTTCTATGGAGAAGACATGAAATTCTATTTTTTTTCTATAATATTTTCCATTGCACATTTGTTATGTGAGCAAAATGGAGAGAGGGAAAAAACTCATGTCTGTTGCTTCTTGGCTATACTGCAGCTCCAAAAAGCCCGGTGCATTTTTCCGTTCTGCTCAATGATTTCACATGTGAGTCTGAGCACAGATCTAGGCTCAGCCAAATGAATTCTAAGGCCGTAGTGGTAACCCATTGTGTAACTGCTATGAGCTCCCTCTAGAGTCAATGGATGGAGTGCACAGAGAGTAGTCCAGGCCACCAAAACGCACGTTCTTCATTCACTTAGCTGGCTAAATTTAGTTGATTCCTCTGTTTCTGTGTCTCAGTCTGTGCCTTATCTGTTCTCAGAACAGATAAACATATCTTCATCTGCTAAATGACAATGTATAGCCTTTACTTTCTCTGATATCAAATATAAATCTATATTCTGTAGAAAGCATAAGATTTTTGAGAAGAATTTTTGCTGTCACTGTCACCATACATAAGGAATAAATTTTTAATTTTTTTTTGTATACCAGGTCATTTCTATCTGGAGAGTGTGTCTTACAACAAAAAAATTTGTTTCTTCAAAGGAAAATAGAGGGAAAAAAATAGTGAATGCACTAATTCCTGTATTTTTTGCCCATGTGTTTAACCAGTTTAACACATGTTTTGCACATGTGTTTAACCAGTATCTGACGCTGTACCAGGAGTGCAGGTCAGTAAGTTTCAAATATTTGGAGACTTGAGGAGGACATGGCTTGGAAGGCAGTGCTTGTAGCACAAGGCTCTGAAAAGAGGAGGGAGAAATAGTTTATTCTTTTCAGTGGCTTTGATTAAGTAAATGTTATTTTTCCTTCCTGTTGCAGTATACTAAGTAAACACAGGAATGTAGAAATGTAAGCCTCTGGAAGCTAGAAAGGAGGTATGACTTTATTTATTCCAGGTTCTGGCAGAGAGGATCTTCCAAGAGAGGACAGCTAGAAACATGTGGAGTTTTTATGGCTCAGAAGACAAAAATTATCTTCTTTTTGTCATGTGCTTTTGCAAAATGCAGGACACATTTGAACAAGAAGGCAATGAGTCACTCAGTTATGTTCATTGTGGAAAGGGAAGAGAAGAGCAAATTACTACTATGTACAGTGCAAATTAAAACTTAGCATTTAAATAAGCAGATGCATCGTTTCCCTTTACACATGCAGCCACAGAAACACAGAAATAACTTTAAGGAGCTGCAGAGAGGCACATCTCTTTCCTGAACTAGTATGTGAATATTGTGGTTTCTGATCTAGATTCAAGACTGAAATCCTCTCTATAAAATAGTTTAAGCTAATAAATACCAGGTGAACAAAAATTATGCAGCCATACAATATCCGTGTGTTACTGTTGCTGCTTAACTTGTAGCTGCTATAACTCCTAAGAGTTGCTGCTGTATCTCACTAATGCTAATGCTGAACTGTTGCTTGAATCTGATTTTTAGGAAGTATAAAGGCTAGGAAACATTTCTGGGTTTCTGAAAGCGGAGACAGTACTGTTCTTCAAGCAAACTGCCCAGAAACAGCAGCTACACTTGATTTAGAAAACAGTGGTTTGACTTCATGTTCTTCTCCCAGTATTGCCACAGAAAGACTTCTTTATTACAGAACACTCTTGAAATGAAATGCCTACTTGGTCTCTTATGTTACTCAACATTAATATCTTCCCAAGTGAGAAAGCTCAACTACTAGAGTCTCACAACAGTCCATGTGTCAATGGTCATATCCTCAGCTGTGCAGAGTGGCACAGATTCATCCAAACCAGCAGTTTATGTGAACTGTAGTCAGGCCCATTCTCTATGCTCATTGCAATGCAATGTTTATTCCCAGTTCTAGCATTCAGATAAAATCCTCTCACTGCTGTC